TTCTTTGGAGTTTTTTTTCTTTCATTCCATTGCTTCAACAATTAGTGGGTACAAGTGAAGGTCGCCCTACTTGGGGCAGGTGGGCTGGAAGCCAGCAGCCTGGCCTTGGGCCTTGTGCGGGGCAGCCCTGAGGTTACCCAGAACCCTTCGCTCCATGGGACACAGCTCATGAACAAGCGGCCCAGGTGATCTCTAGATAAGGCTCTAACTATCTTTCTGATTGCTTTTCCCCTCCAAGATCTGGTGAGGAAGGATACTACCCCGAACTTACAGGATTTTGTGAAAAGCGCCTTGAAAGCTTAGCTCCTCATAGCAGAGCCTTGAGGAAAGATAAGCCCGTGGCGACAGCATCCAGTTTCACAGCGGAAGAATGGGAACTAATCGATGGTGATATGAAGGTAACACCACTAACTGATAAGTATCGTTGTGACATTGTATATGTGTCTGCTTTACTTACCTACAATCCTAGGCTTCTTGTCTATTGGTAAAAGGCTTTCAGTGGTAACTAAACCTATTGCCACTGAGTCGATCACAACTCCTGGTGACAGTAAAGAAGAGTAGAACATCCCCTTCCAGCAGTGGTTCTCGACCTTCCTAATGCCACGGCCCTTGTGTTGTGGTGACCACCCCACCCCCAACCATAAAATGATTTTCGTTGATACTTCATCACTGTCATTTTGCTACTGTTATGAATCGGGTGACCCCTGTGAAAGGGTCATTCAACCTCCAAAGGGGTCGCGGCCCACAGGTTGAGAATAGCTGCCTTACAGTGTCCAGGGCAGTAAATCATCCTGGACTCAGACTGTCTCCTGAGAAGCTACTTGTGGTTCTAGCTGTTTACCTTCCCTTTAGCAGCCGGATGCTTCACCATCACACCACCTCGACTCCGACTGCTGGTAATTTGTTAGGTAGTGCTGTTTCTTTTTGCCCCTCGGAGAATATAATGAGTGCTTATCTGTGTGTGCAGTTTAAGTCGCTGAATAAGAGTCTATCCTATTGCAATACCATAATATGGCTTCTAGAAATAGAGCCCTTTTTTTAGGACCACCCTTGTCATTTCCTCACTTTGAGCGCTAAGGTGCACCTGCTTGAGCCATGGTATTTTCACTCACCTCTCCCGCACGTGACAGCCGGACAATGGCTAAGGGAGATGAGAGAAGAATTGATGCATTTGAATTAAGATGTTGGCAAAGAATATTTGAAGTACCATGGACTAAGTAGTATCAAGTACCAAGTAGTACCAAGTACTCAAGTACCAAGAGGAGAAACAAACCTGATTGGAGGACAGCCAGCCAGCCAGAATGCTCTTTAGAATAAGGATGGTGAAACTCTGTCTCAGGTACTTGGGTGTGTTATCAGGAGAGACTGGTCCTTGGAAAAGGGCAACATGGTGGCTGCAACAAGGGGCTCAAGTGTAACAATTGGGAGGATGTTGAAGGATCATACAGTGCTCCGTGCTGTTGTACTGAGTCAAGAGTCACCTGCACCTCAACAATCTCTTCAAATAACTTATTAGATTTCCAATCGGTTCATCTAAAAGGGTTTGAAGTTTTTTGAAATTTTCATCTAGGGTTTGACACCTATTTCCACACTCTCCAGGAGAGTTATATATTTTTTATATTGTAGTATTAAATAAAATAATAAATAATTGAGGCTGATGGAGGGTGAGGGGCCAGCCCCCACCCGCTGATTACTCCTACGAGTTCAGTAATACTACTTCTGGGTTCAGTAATGCACAATTGTACGGTTGAGATATATAAG